CCCCTGAATCTCCCTCCCTGATTGAACCTCAGGTGTTGTTAACAGACAATCAGGAGAGGGTGCCGGAGTCATTAGTTGAAGGACAAACCGAGCAATGTTGGATAGACACACGGCAAAGATGTAAGCAGAAACGGGCCATCCAACGGACACAGAAAAGAGACTGACAGGCCCCTTAGGGAATATAAGGAAGTGTGCTAGCTCTGAATCCCCGTTCAAAGCAAGGTGTCATTTCGGTTGGTATTACGTCTGATACACTCGTCTGCAGCATCTTGATTTATGGTTAGTTTGGACTTGCCAGACAGATTCCAGGAAGACTGCCAAGGACTGCGTAAACAGAAGCAGTTAACTCTGCCGTGTCTGAGACTGTCTGTTTGAGCATTTGTACTTTGGAACTTTGGGCTCTCACCTGTGGATCCAGGTGAGACAGAACAGAGGAATATGGGGGAGAGTTCACCTCTGAAGCAGCCAAAGTGAGATGTGTCACCAGGGCCCTGGAGGGAATAGCGGCAGAATGGATGGTGACTTTGCATAATGATAATTCCCCCCAACTGCGGAATTACAACGTATTCATGACTGCGTTGCGAGCAAGATTTGAGGACCCACTGGTGGAGAGAAAGGCCAGGATCAAGATGAAAACCATAAATCAAGGAAGGAGGTCAGTAGCTGACTACACCTAAGAGTTTAGACAGCTGGTGTGCCATATCCAAGGCTGGTCCCAGGGAGCCCTGATAGAAGCCTACAAAGATGGTCTAAATGAAGACGTATACCAGATGTGTATCTCCAGAAGGGATCCCAATGATTTGCAATTGTGGTACCTGCTGGCAGAGGAAGTGGAGATAGACCTGACCGGAAGCAGACACAGGGGGAGCTCTAGATGGAGTAAGCTGTCCCCCCCATGCTTCCAAGAGGCCCTCAAGCCTCCCAAGGGAGGGGTGATGACAAGACCCAAATCCACTGCCTGTTTTCGATGTGGGAAGGAGGGCCACCGGACTGCAGACTGCAGGGTCAAGCTGGATCCAAAGGGGGTGCAGAGGGCAGGGAGGAAGCCTGAAAACCCCCCAACCAAGCCTCACGAAACTGTGCTAAAGATGGGGGAGGTTGTAGAGGTCACCCCTCCGGCGGGAGAGGAGCCGGGACCTCCAACCTTCTTTGAAGAGAGTGAATCCGATTTGGAAGACGACTTCCTGGTAAGTCCAAACAAGGGCCCCATGACCATTCCAGTAAAATTAAGGGCACCCACTTCAGGGACCGAAGGGAAGATGTTAGCCTTGCTAGACTCTGGGTGCACAAGATGTGTAATCAACATGAAAGTAGTTGAGGAGATGGGCATCAGACTGAGAATTTTAGAAATGCCCATAGCCTTTTGCCAATTGAATGGATCAGTGGCGGGGGGTTGCCCTGCACGCTTCATAACGGAACCCCTAGAGATGACCATGGGGGAGCATAAAGAGACTTTGCGTTTTATTTTGGCCCCTGGCATGGAGCAACCGCCAATACTAGGACTGCCCTGGCTCCGCAAATGGAATCCCCATGTGAACTGGAGGAAGGGGTTGCTGCGCATACACACCAATCAGCGACCGGAAGGGGAGGGGCAATCCCAGCAGAACCTTCAGAATCCGGTTGAGCTAGCCTCCACGGGTACCGAGGATTTGGAGGGGGAGGAAAAAATCCTGAAAGAATATTGGGACTTAAAGGAAGTGTTTAGTGAAAAAGCTTCAGATGAGCTTCCCCCTCATTGGTCAATGGACTGTAGTATTGAAATTCTGCCTGGGGTAATGCTCCCGAAACCGAAATTATATTCGATGACACCACGGGAATTGGAAGAGTTGAGATCGTTTATCGATAAAAATTTGAAACGTGGTTTCATCCAACCCGCTAGACCTCGGGTAGCTGCCCCAGTGCTGTTCCGTGAAAAGAAAGATGACTTCACATGTCTGGTGGTTGACTATAGAAACCTGAACGCAATTTCCGTGGAAAACGTATACCCCCTCCCCCTGATGAAGGACATGCTAGCCCACCTGGTGAAAGGGAAAATTTTCACAAAGTTGGACTTGAGAGAAGCGTACTAGATGAGTGGAAGATGAGTGGAAAACCGCTTTTAACTGCCCGATGGGTTGTTTTCAGTTTAATGTTCTCCCATTTGGACTACAGGGGGCTCCAGCCGTATTTATGCAGATGATCAATCAGGTATTACATGAACATTTATACAAGGGGGTCTTGGTTTACCTTGATGACATCCTTATTTACACGGAAACTTGGGATGAACATGTGAAACTGGTGCGTTCCGTACTACAGAAACTGCGAGCTGCTAAACTGTATGCTAAACTGTCCAAATGTGAATTCCATCAAGAGAAAATGGACTATTTGGGGTATCGCATTTCACACAAGGGTATCGAGATGGATCCAGGGAAGGTGCGAGCTGTGTTGGAGTGGGCCCCACCACGTACCCGAAAACAACTTCAAAGCTTCTTGGGCTTTGCCAACTTTTACCGGCAATTCATCCCGTCTTTTGCTAAGATAGCAATGCTTATCACCAATCTCTTAAAAACTAAAGGGGAGGTGAAATCAAAGCCGAGTAAGCCGCTGGAGTGGTCCATGGAATGCCAAGCTGCCTTTGAGAAACTGAAGTGACTGTTCACTGCAGAACCAGTGCAAAAACACCCGGACATAGATGCCCCTTTCATAATCCAAGCCGATGCAAGTGATGTGGCCGTTGGAGCGGTATTACTTCAAATCAACGAGAACCTCCCGTAAACTGACTGAAACTGAAAAAAGGTGGGCTGTCTGGGAAAAGAAAGCTTTTGCAGTTCGCTGGTCTCTACTGACATGAAGACATTTCTTGGAAGGAGCGAAACACCCATTTGAGATATGGACTGACCGTAAGAATTTGGAGACCTTAAAAACGCCTTGGAAACTGTCTCCTAAGCAAGTTCGGTGAGCCCAGTATTTTAAACGGTTTAATTTTTCACTAAAGTACATTCCGGGGGGTGGGGGAGGAATTTTATGGCGGATGCTTTGTCTAGACTGCCTCAATACAATAGTGTTCGTCAGGAAGTGATACGGCCAATTGTTTCTACCAAACAGCTAGCCGCCCCGGTGGTCACTAGAGCGCAAAAGAAGAAGCAAGAGGCAGATTTGTTGGGTGATTTGACAGCACAATTAAAGAAGCCCTGAAACTGGATGAGTGGTTCCTGGCGAATTCGAATAACTGTACAGTTAGAGATGGCTTGGCCTGGATGGGAGCGAAACTGTATGTACCAGAGACATTGAGAAACCAAGTATTGCAACAGGCCCATGACTCCAAAGCGGCTGGTCATTTTGGATTCGTGAAAACCTTACACCTCATTAAGCGACAATTCTGGTGGCCTGCGTTGAAGAAAGACATTGAAACTTATGTGTCTAGCTGCTCAGTCTGCGCTTCAGCAAAAAGGCCTCCTGGTAAGCCAGCAGGTCTGTTACAAAATGTGGCCAGGCCAACAGCTCCTTGGAAGGAAATCTCTATGGACTTTATAGTAGAGTTACCCGAGAGGTTATTTGGGTAGTAACGGATTCGTTTTCCAAACAAGTGCATTTCATACCTTGCTCTAAGATTCCTTCCGCAAGATCGTTGGCTAAACTGTTCATACTGCACGTTTATAGGCTGCATGGTGTCCCTGAACATATAATTTCTGACCGAGGGGTTCAATTTACCTCAAACTTTTGGAAGGAGTTCCTGAAGTTGATTGGTTCCGCCCAGGGCTTAAGCTCTGCCCACCATCCCCAAACCAATGGGGCCTGTGAGAGACTAATGCTATGCTAGAACAATACCTCAGATGTTACATAAATTATCAACAGGATAATTGGGTTGACTTATTGCTGTTTGCTGAAGTGGCATACAACAATTCTGTTCATAATAGTACCGGGTTCACCCCCTTTAAAGTGGCGTCAGAACAAGAGTTTGTGCCCATACCTGAGCTTCCTCGTGAAAAACCTAACATCCAGTCGCTAGACGAATGGATATCTCAACTCCAGCTTAACTGGCCAGTTGCTCACAAAGCATTGGATGACGCCCATCAGTCCCATAAGTAATTTGCAGATAAAAAGAGGGCCACAAAAGTCCTATCAAGTGGGAGACAAAGTTTTCCTGTCCACCAGATACTTACAAACCACTCAAAAGTTGAAGAAACTTGGTCCTAAGTATGTAGGTCCTTTCACAATTGAACGAATTGTAAATCCTGTGACGGTCCAATTGACACTACCAAAAACTCTTCGATGAATTCACCCAGTCTTCCATGTTAGTTTGTTGAAACCTGAACACACTTCTGTTTTGAGACCAACCCAGACTGATCCTCCTATTTGCTGGTTGAGGGTGAACAACACTTTGAAGAGATTTTGGACTCTCGTAAATGGAGGGGTCGGTTCCAATACCTCGTAGCTTGGAAACATTTCCCGTCTTCCCAAGCTGAGTAGGTTAATGAGAAGGATGTTAGAGCCCCTAAGCTGATCAAAGACTTTCACACAAAGTATCCTGATAAACCCTAGAAATATATATGATTGTTAACCAATGTTTTTGTGTTGTTCTCTCTTACAGGACTAACGTCTTTTTTCTAGGAGGGCCGAATGTCAGCCTTCAAGATCTTTTCTACTGCTTTGCATCTTTCGGCGGCCATAAGTAACGAGAGGAGGGGTTGCATCTGGGAAGAGAGCTGGAGGTGTTACATTCTTGTGTTGTAAAAATGAGGAGTGGTGGTGGGGAGTATAAATTCCTACTCTTAAGTTTCTATTTCCTTGCCCAAGGGAGCCGAGGAAGGGCGACTCTCTTGGGGAGGGGGTCCCATTCAGGAGAGCTCTCCCCACAAATGCGGCTGGCGGCAGGGGGGCCCTTGGGGGGGAAGGGAGCAATGTGTATGCGGGGGGGGGGTGTCCTTTGCCCCCCTCCCCAACCGCAGAGCAGGAGCCAGCGCTGGGGGGGGACTTATTGCCAGTGCTGCACCGGACCATCAAGCCAGGCAACCGGCCTTCAGCTGCCCCCTCCGCCTCTCTTGCAGCTACCGGTGGAAAGGCGCCGTCGAGGAGGACGCTGAGGTGCTGCTGGTGAGTTTGGGGAAGGGGCGGCCAGGCAATCCAGTTGATCTCTGCCCCCCTTCCCCCACCCAAGGGGGCTTGAAACCCCCACTCGCTGGGCCCAAAGCGGGCCAGGCTGCGCAGGGATGGTTTGGTTTGGCTGAGGAATTGGGGAGGGGTCACGGGGGAAAGGGGGAGAGACTTTCCCCTCTGATCAGCTTCACAGAGCCCCGGCTGCATATTTGGGACCCCCCCTCACCCGTACTCTTTCCTCCCCCCCTCCCCAGATGATCAAAACACGGAGCTCCCGGGTCTCGGCATTGGCAGAGTTTGTCTGGTAAGGCAAAGACCCCCCCTCTCCCCGCCCCCTGGCAGTGCATGATGGGGGGCAACACTCACTTTCTACATCGCCCACCCCACAAAGACCCCCCGGTAGTGCATGATGGGGAGGCAACACTTTCTACACCCCCCGCAAAGACCCCCCCTCCCCCCTGGCAGTGCATAATGGGGGGGCAACACAGTGACTTCCTACATCAACCCCCCCCCCCATTTGGCTTGCAGGTCGGTACACCCCTACGAATTGGCCGAGGTGATCTCCGTCCCCATCCAGCAAGGGAACCCCCCCTATTTCCGATGGGTGGAAGAGGCCGTGGACCCCGAGTGACGGGCCCTTGACCCGCCTGGGCCCACAATAAAAGTCCCCCCGCCCCGGGGCGGGGCAGTGCCAGGCTCTGGCTTCCATTTGCCTTTGGGGGGGGGCTCCTTGAGTCTTGGGGGGGAGGGGCGGCTGGCTCTGGAGAAGGGATTCCCCTCCCCTTAGCGGCAGTCCCACGGCTGGGGCCCCCACCCTGGAAGAAACAGCGGCAGTCAAGAGTCTCACTGAAGCTCTTTATTCAGCCTCTGGCTGTGAAAGGGAGGGGGCGCGTGGGGGGGCAATGGCACCTCAAAGTCAGCAGTGGGGGGGGGGGGACAGGCAGCCCCCCCCCAGGAGCCGTGCCACACCCCTCCGGACACTCTCCATAAGAACTTCACTCAGAAACAGTACAAAAATAAACTCGGGCTTCACTCCACAGGGGGAGGGGTCCTCCGCCCAGGGTCCCTTTCCCGGCTCCCCTCCCTTCTGTGGAAGGTGGGGGAGCGGCGCTTGTGGCTCCGTGGGGGACCTGGAACATGCCTCACCCGTCCCACTCCACCAGGTACTGGACGCTGCCGTCCATGGTGATGCACCGGGCCAGGATGCGGACAGCCTCCCTCCGTGCAGGTCGGCCCATCGCCCCAAAGTAGCTGCTGCTGGCCGGGGTGCAGAGGGCAGGGGGCACGGCAGGGGACAGGGGGCGGGGCTTGGCGCTTGAGGGGAGGCGTTGGGCAGGGTAAGAAGGCGGGGGCAGGGCGCTCCGGACTCTGCTGCTCTGCGGCGCTGGGGGCAGCTGCCACGCAAGGTTCAAGGGGAGCCCCAACGTTTCCGCTGCAAGGGAAGGGGGAGCGGTTAGTCCCAGGCCACAAACCCCGGCCCCTCCCATCACCCAGGGCCGGGGGGGGCCTCCCCCCGAGACCCCTCGGCGGAGGCGTCCCAGCCAGGGCGAGAAGGGGAGCACCTCAGCCGTCGGGGTGTGTCCCATCGAGAACTCGGGCAGCCCAGCTGGGGCAGCTTCGGTGCCCTGCGTGGTGGCATGGCGGGAAGCAGAGCAAGGGGCGGTGGGCACCCCAGCTGCTTTGGGGACCCCAGGTGGGGGTGCAGGTCCTGTGACCACTCGGGGAAAAAGCCGGTGGGTGAGACGGCCAGCGTGCCGGGGCTACCTGGTGCCAAGGAAGGGCTGCTTGCACCCCTGGGGGAAGACCACCGCTCCTTCTGCATCGAAAGGGGCACCCCTGCTTTGAGACCCCCCCCACACACCCCCGGTCCATCAAGGTTCCTGCCCAGCCTGAGCTGCTGCCTTTGCCCTGTGATGCCCGTTGACCCCAGCCCTTGGGGAGGCGCCCTGCCAGGCCCCGTCCTGCCACGGCAACAGGGGCCCAACAGCCAACGGAGAACCTCAGCCCTGCCTGGAGGCCCCAGCCACAGGAAGCAGGCCCAGCGGATGCCCCTCGAGGCCAGAGGGCCCCCTTGGGATCCTCCATCCTGGCCCTGGGGGGAGGCCGTGGGTATCCCCACGCCCCTCTGGGCCCCCCGGCTCACCTCAAGGCCCCTGTGGTGTTGGCCAAGGGGTGGAAGGAGGCGAACATCCGGATCGGAGCGCTGGGGGGAAGAGAGAGAGCGGACCATCAAGAGAGGAGCCGGCCTGGGGAAGCAGCCATGCCCCCTGCGCCCCCTGTCCACAGCCTCACCTGTCCTGGCAGCGGGCATCGGTGCAGCTTAAATTGTACGTGCTGCAGGTGCCGCCGTAGCTCTGGTTAGGACTGACCGGGCTCTGCACCAGCTCCTGTGCGGAAGGGAGAGCGTTGAAGGGCAGCTGGGGGGGGGGGCAGCACAGGCCCCTCCTCCCTGGTGGCCCTCCCTCCATGTCCCTCTGCTCCCTCCCCTGCTTACCTGAGTGAGGGCCCTTGTTAGCCGCTTCCTCTTCCTGGCGCTGTGCTGCTCCGTGGTGTTCAAGGCTGCCCCGGGGGCCTTCGGGCGATGACGCCTCTCCCTCCTGGGCTGCGGCCCCAACCCACGCCTGCCCTGCCCTGAAAGCAAGCTGTAAGGGGCCCTCCTTATCTGTGCAGCACGGAAGGGGGGGCGGGGGGGGGGACACAGCTTCCTCCTCTGCCCAGGCCCACAGCTGGGGAAACTCCTCACCTGTTCTTGGAGAAGGGCGTGGGGGCCCAGGGGCGTGGGGGGCAGGGGGCGGGACTCGCAGGTTCAGCCCAAAGAGCCCCTTCCTGCCGCTCAGTGGCCTCCACCCACACCGCCCGGGCTCCGCTCAGGTGTCCGACTGGGGCGGTCAGGAGTTGTAACCGCCGGCGTGGCTCTGCACACTCCAGTCCCGCGTTGCCTCAGGAAGGGAAAAGTAAAACCGGGAGCCGCTGCCCCTGAGCGTCCGGTGCCGCTGCTGCCGTTGCAAAGCGCCGCCGCGGTTCTTTTTGCTTTTCCCTTCCCAAGGCAACGCGGGACTGGAGCCGCACGGAGCCATGCCAGCGGTAGCAACTCCTGACTCAGGGGGCCTCTGAGGGGAGGGGAAGAGGGGGGCGATTCCTCCAAAAATCAGAATTCCAATTTTAATCGGAAGAATATCATGTCTGCCCCGCCCACCCCACAATCCCCCCGCCGAGCTGCCTGGAAGCCCCCCTGCCCTCCAGCCCCCCCCAGGGGCTGCTCCCTGGCCCCTGGGCCTCCCCTTACCTCTCTGGCGGCTGTTCCCGAGACGGACTCCTCCGGGGAGGCTGACCCCCCCTCCCCGGCCCTGCTGGGCTGGGGGCCTCTGCTGTCCTACCTGGGGGGCCTCCCCCCCTGCTGCTCCTCCTCGCTCTTGACCTGTAGTTGAGCAAACTGGGTGATCACCTCCTCCAGGCGCTGTACATCCAGCGCCTGGTTGCATTGCAGGTGCTGGGCTAGCTCCACACCCCCCATAGCTGGGTCAGTATCTGCCGGGCAGGAGACAGGCACGAGCTGACAGGGGGTCCGCCTGCCTGCCCCAGGCCAATGGCCTCCACTCCATGGACGGGGGAGGGGCCCTCTTGGGAAACTGGGGATATCCCCTCTAGCCTTCGAGGAGGGGCTGTGCCCAAGGAACTTTCAGCCGCCCTCGCCAGAGGAAAGCAGGCGTGGGCTGCCCTCCCTCCCCTGATGGGCTCCTGCCCAAACCTTCCCCCCCAGGTGTTCATCCCAGCTTCAGCCCAGCCACCCCATAGCCAGAGTGCTTTTGGGGGGACAGAGCTGGTTACCCCCCTCCCCAATTCTAAACGGCCTCAAAGGCCCCACCGGGGATCCACGCCAGGAGCTCCCAGAGGATGAAGCGCAGCTCCATGGTGTCCCTCCCTGGCCCCCCCTTACCTCCTGGGGGACAACAGTTGCCGGAGTCTCCCTAGTCCGCCTGGCTGCTCGGTCCAAGAATCTGCCCAGCAAAGCGGCCGTGCGGAGAGAAGGGAAACGTGCCCCCCCTCCCGCGTCAAGGACAAGGAGAGGGGGGTATGTGGGTTTAACTGGGCCAAGCTCTATGGGGCAGGGACTGTGGGGGTCCCTGCCTGGAGCTACCAGCCGAGGACAGGCAGCCCTGCTCCACTTGCTGTAACCTGAGAGGGTCTGAGCTGCTCATCCAGCCCTCTGACCCAGCCCTCCTCTCGGCAGGGCAGGCGGGCCCTTCCTTCCCGACAAAGGGAGTAGGAAGGACGAGAACAGCCGGGGGGGCTCCTTTGCGCCCCCAGCTGGTGGCCCCAAGGACTGCCCTGAGCAAGACCAGAAGGGGCACAGCGGGCACCAAAGCGGGACTCCTTGGGTTGAGGCCCTGGGGGCTCTTCCAAGGCAGCCCCTGCCCCGGGTGGAACCAGGCACCGCCAAGAGTTCCCTGCAGCACTCACTAGTCTGATACTGGTCGGTGGGGTGGCTGCCGAAGTTGTAGACCAGGTCGAGGCGACGTTGCTCCTGCAGCTGGGCGTTCACATCCCGGAAGGCATCGGCTGCCATGGCCTCCATCTGGTCCTTGGGCAGCCCCAGGCTGTGACGGTCGCTGGCCTCCTGCACCACCTTGAGGATGTCGGCAAAGTCTGGGAAGGCCTCCGGCTGGTTGATCAGCTCCTCTATGCACAGGTTGACCTCCGGGTAGCGGGTCCCGCAGTAGGAGATGCGCTGCTCTATGACGCGGCCGGTCAGGCTGCTGCAGTCCCTCAGCTGGCAGAGGCGCTTGAAGACGTGCATCAGCCGGCCCATGAGGAGGCTCTCCTGCAGGTAGGCCGAAAGCTGGCTGTCCAGCTCCTCGAAGTCCAGCTCCTGCTCCTGCAGCTGCCGGATCTCGTTGGCGTAAACCCGCAGCAGGTTCTCCAGGTAGCGGATCTGCTGCTTGGAGCCCACGCAGGGCTTGGCGGGCTCAGAGGGCGTCTGGGAGGCGAGGGCAGCCGGGGCATCCTGGGTGTTTGCGGGGCCGGGGGTTACGGCTCTTCTCCTCTGCGAATGGGCCCGGAAAGCGGTGCAGAATTCATTAATGCAGACATAGATTTTTCCACTCCTGCCTTGCACCTGCGTCAGACAGCGGCTCAGGACATTGTGAAACTCCACAGAAGCCAAGTACTCCGGACTGGTCCTCTGGTGGCAGCCAGAGAGGTAGGAGATGAACTCAGGGTCATCCTTGGTGTGCCTGGAGCAGAAGGCCACGAACTGCAGAGGGAAAGAGGCAGGAGAGGCAGGGCTCAAGGCGTGGCTCAGGCGGGCCTCGCTTTCTCCGTGGCTTCCTGCCAGGAAGAAGACGGGAGCTGGGCTTGGAGGTGATACCCTCCTCTGCCCCAGAAGTCTATGGGACGGGCCCCGTAGTCCCTAAGGCCCAGGCGGAGAAGCCTTCACAGGAGCCCAGTTGGTCAGGATACTAAGCGGAGTAGCTGGAAGAGCAAAGCATGCAATGGGCACAGGGACACTTGATTGGTTGGAGAGGGCTGGCTCCTGCGTGAGATTTCTGTCCTGCAGGAGGACAGAAACGGCATGGGTCGCACTTTTGGGGGATCTCTGGCGGGAGTGGGATAGGGGTAGTGCATCCATCCTTGCTCTACTTGATGTCTTGGCGGCTTTTGGTACCATTGACCATGGGCTTCTCCTGGGGGGACTTCAGGGGATGGGAGTGGGAGGCCTTGTGCTATTCTGGTTCACTTCCTTCCTCTGTGGCCGCTCTCAGTCAGAGTTGATAAGGGGGCAGAGATCCAACCCTTGACCGCTGCTTTACGGGGTCCGCAGGGAATGGTACTCTCTCCGCTCCTGTTCAACATTTACATGAAGCCGCTGGGTGAGATCATCCAGCTGATAATACTCAGCTGTATGTCTTGGCCCGTGGTGAGTTAAGAGTCGCTGTGTCCTCCCTCTCGCAGTGCCTGGAGGATGTTAGGGGCTGGGTGGGGAGCAACAGGTCGAAACTAAACCCTAGCAAGACTGAGTGGCTCTGGGTCTGGGGTTCGTTGGTTGAGGGAGAATTACCACCTTTAGTCTTGGATGGGGTGGCACAACCCCAAAGGGACCCTGTGAATAATCTAGGGGCTTTCCTGGACTCACGACTCCTGCTTAAAGAGCAGTCATGGCCAGGAGGGCGTTTGCACAATTGCAGGTTGTGCACCACTTGCGCCCTTTCCTGGACCAACAGTCCCTACTGACAGTCACTCATGCCCTAGTCCCACGATGGGCGAACCTGTGGCACGCAGAGCCATTTGTTCTGGCAAGCGAGCTGCAGGTGAACTTACCTCACTGCGCATGTGTGCGCCTCACAGCTGATTTTTGGCTGGTTTAAGGCCTTTTTTTGGCCTCCCGGAGGCTTCAGGAAGGCTTCTGCAGGCTTTTCAGGGCAAGAAGTAGGCCCGTTCCATTACTTCCTGTTTTTCTGGAAATACCAGAAGTGATGAAACTGCCTCATTTTCGGCCTGGTAAGCCTGCAGAAGCCTTCCTTCACAGTGCAGGTAAGGGGGTGGCAGGGATGGGTGGAGATTGCACACGCAGGCATAGGGGGCGTGGGGGGGCGTGCATTGCCTTCTGAGTGCTGGTGCGCAAGCCTGCAAGCATGCGCACAATTTTTGGCACAGGAACCCCAAAAGGTTAGCCACCGCCGCCTTAGTCACTTCCCGTCTTGACTATTGCAATATGCTCTACATGGGGCTGCCCTTGCAGAACATCTGGAAGCTCCAGATGGTGCAAAATGCAGCGGCCCACATGGTTTTGTGCAGACATGGTCTGTGGTCACCACCCGCAGAACCGCTCCTTTCTTGGGGATGTCTTGCTAACCTCCTCTGCTTTCCACCTGTTGTCTATTCCATTTGCACAACAGCATGTGAAATGGATTGTCCATCAGTGTTGCTACCTAAGTGGACAGTTTGATTTCACAGAAATGGGATTGACTTGGAGTTCCATTGTGTTGTTTAAATGTCCCCTTTATTGTTTTGAGCAGTGTATATAAAATTGAATGGTGGAGGGGGGGGGGGTTGACTCCCATCTGGACAAACGCTGCCGCCTGGGGGGATCCGGCTGACTCAGGGCATTCTGGGAAATGGAGAGGAGAGTGTGGGGGGGGGGGTACAGGAGGGTCCTGCAGGAAGGTGGGATGGATGACCCTTGGGGTCCCCTTAGAGGCTGACGCGTGGACTTTCCCGGCTTTCCTCTCCCTCTCGGAGCCCCGTCGGTTCCCGGGGCCTCCCCACCCACCGACCCCCCCCCTGCCCCCGCTCACCTCCTGGAAGAGCCGCTCATTCTCGGCGCGGAGCCCCTTCTCCCCAGCGCTGCTGTTCAGCGGCGGTGGCGGCGTCGGAGGGGCATCGGGCCCGCGGGAGCGCTGGCGGAGGAGGGCGGCGTCGGCGGCGGCCGGGGACGGGTCGTCGTCCTCATCGTCC